CTGGTATACTGATGGGTTTTAGGGTTGGTTTCGGGTAGGAGAGGTTATATACAAACGGTCAAAACCCGGAACAAAACCAAACCAAACCCGCAACTGAAAAGAAACTGATATTCAGCCCGTAAGTCGACTCGTTGGTCGACTCATCAGTCGACTCGTTGGTCGACTCATCAGTCGACTCATTAGTCGACTCATGAGTCGACTCATAAGTCGACTGAGCAGACACATAAATTCCAGATTCGTGCATGTTTTGTTATTCAGCCAAAACCATATATATATATATATATATATATATATATATGAAATTAAAACATGTATATGTATGTGTGTATATGATATTGAGCTTAGAGTATTAAACACACATAATATAAACATATACTAAATATACCCAAGCTTGATGAAGGTCTTCAATGAGCGCGACTTGGTAAACTTTGCGGAAGAAGCTTGAACTTGGATCTTGACTTGAATGCATAGGCTTCACTCCACTATTTCCGCCAACCTCCATTTGATATGATCGTTATGGCGCAATTTAACCATCCTCCAACTTATTGTTTGCTTAGAATAAATATAAAACATAAACACTAGACAAACAATATTAGATGTAAATTGTTTGTTAAACATCATCAAAATAAAAGAACCCAACAATCTCCCCCTTTTTAATGATGACAAACAATTTACAAAAATGATATATGCATGAAAGGAATTGAATATACAAATTATAATTATCATGCACATAAACAAGGAAATATATATACTCACAATATTGCTCCCCCTTTGACAACATTAAAAAGGGGAAAAACAAAAGAATGAAGAGAGCGAAAGCTCCCCCTACAAATAAGCATGAGTGAGTATAAAACCAATATAAGGAATGCTCCCCCTATCAAAATGCCTTAATGAATATATGCAATGAAATGCAAGGCAAAGCATGTGAGCAAGCATACATGAAAAACATGTTAAATATCACTCACATACAACAAGATAATGAGAACACATAATAATATGTCATTATAAAATAGCGTCTCATTGGTAAAAACATAAAAACCATATGAAGATAGATTTATGAAAACAAATGAATAGGAAACATGAGAATCATGCAAAAAGTTTTCAAATGAAAATAAATTAACCAAATGAAATCATAAATCACATGAAATCCGTAAAATCAAACCATATAAGGCAAGAGAGGCAAGTATACCAAGCTATTTAGCTTGTTTCAACCCATATAAATATTTTTAGCACCCGCTAAACAAGATTTAGGAATAAACACCCAATAAACCCGGGGGTTACATAAACACAAACCTCTCATGACAAATCAAGACAAATAAAATGAAAATAAAAGAATTAACTTTAAAAATTGTTTTCATTTTCAAAAATTTCAAAGCACATTTTTCAAAACCAAGAAAAAGAAAAATAAAAACACTAAAATTCTTGGTTTAAAAATCAAATTTGTTTTGGTACCCAAGTATTCTTGGTACCAAATGATTTAGGGACATGACCCCTATCATGTAAGCTCAAAGCATTAGGGTTATGAACCCATTTGGGCGCATTTAGTGCACAGACACGGTCAAAATAAAAATGGTGTAAATGACCATTCCGTTTGCAATAAGTGCACTGAAAGGGTTGAAAAGGTTTGTGTTGACCAAACGGTTGTGCACAGGACTCAATTGCAAAAATAGATTGTTCTTTAAATATTAAGATATTTCTTGCAACTTTGATATTTTGTGGATGCTTTTTTACAAATTGGGTTGTTTTTTATAAAATTCAAATTTTCAACAGTCTACTAAAAATTTCCAGATTTGATGTGTATTGGTTATAAGTTTTGAAATTTTAGATTTTTGTGATTTTTAACTTTTGAGGGAGTTTTTATAAATTTTGTAACTTTGAATTATTTGTTGCTAATTTTAAATTTTCAAATGCCTATTAATAATCCATTGAGTTCATCTATGTTGTTTGTAAGTTTTGTAATTTTTATAATTTTAGGGTGTTTTTTTTTGTAATTTACCCTTTTGAGGTCGTTTCTATAAAATGTTGAGGGTGTTAATTGTAAATTTTAATTTCTTCGAGGGTTATTGTTAATTTTTAGATTTCATGTTTGTTGTTTTAAGTTTTGAAAAGTTAGGGTGTTTTGTTTAATTTTAAATTTTTGAGGGTATTTTATATAATTTTGAAAACATTTTGGCATTTTTTGTAATACTTCATGTATTATAATATGTTAGCTATATGTGATTTCTCAATTTTATTATTTAAATTGTTGCACTATATGTAGCTCACGTGGGATTAATATATGCTATAATTAGTACTAGTATAGATTAGAATTTAAATGAAATATTCACAATAGTATTCATATGTTTTATTAATCTTATTTTTTTAAATTGTTGAGATACATGCAGTTCACGCGGGATTAGTACAAGATATAATTTAAATTAAGATAAAATAAGATTTGAATAAAATATTTAAAATAGTAAAGAGTAATATTAATCATAAAATCTTTTTTCCAAACTCATATTTTTAAAGGAGTTACATGTATACGCAGACAAACTAGTATTTTATTTTCTTGCGAGAGATTCCGAAACCTTTTGATTTGAACCGAACTTTAGTGGAGACGAAATCCAAAAGATGAAACCCGACCTAGTTTCAGAAAGGACAACAGGGTAAATAAGAAGTGATATGCTCAACCGCGATAAACTCCTCCGCCTGCGGTCGACAAAACAAGAGGAGCTAGGTCTGTTCCATATATAATATAAATTATTATATATGGAACGGAGATGGATGCTTTTTGGAGAGCATGTCATCCACTGTCAGAAGCAGCCGGGGTTTAAGTACAGGCACGGCTTAGTCAGAGATCTCTTGTATGATATTCTCCAAAGAGCAGGGTATCCATCAAAGAAGGAAGCGCCTGTCAACTTCCTCACTCTTCCTGGAGAGACTAGATCTACTCTAAGACCGGCAGACGTTCTTGTCTACAGTTGGAGCGGGGGGAAGCACGCTTGTATTGATCTTACAAGGGGTGTCTCCGTTGGTGGGGTTCTGTAATGGAGAGTTCAAGGTTGGGCATGCAACGGATAGAGCGGCAGAGGCAAAGGTGAGGAAACATGATCAAACTTATAAGGACAACCACCACAGCTTTATCCCGTTCGCTTTCGATATATTTGGTTTCCTTGCAGCTGATGCGGTGGAGTTCCTCAGGAGGGGACAATAATTCATGAATAAGAATGTGGCGATAGCAAGGTCCGCGGAGTACGTGTTTCGTAGGTTAGGTTTTGCTATTCAGAAAGGATTAGCGGCGCAGCTTGTTGCCCGCTTATCGTCATCACATGTGTAATATTTTATTAAGAAATAAAAATTTATTATTCATTGTTAAAAAAATACTAGTATTCATCCCGTGCTAAGCACGACATCCTTACAGATTATTTTTGTGCGCAATTTTTCATCATCTTATTTTTTTGTTTTGTCCCGATAAATTTATCTTAAACATACTTGAAGTCCATCATATATAACCAATGAGGATATTGTTTTGTCACGATAAATTTATCTTAAAAATATTTAAAGCCCATCATATATAACCAATATAAATTTATCATATATTCAAACCCAATATAAATCACATGATAAGGATCGTAAGTTTTGCAGAACACAATAAGTAACACAGGGAAAGAAAAGCAGAAACACAATGTACTAAATTTATCTTTAATCGTTATTATCATATATTCAAACCCAATATAAATCACATGATAAGGATCGCAAGTTTTTCAAATCACAATAAGTAACACATGGAAACAAAAGCAGAAACACAATGTACTAAATTTCTCTTTATTCGTTATTATCATATATTCAAACCCAATATAAATAACTGGATCTTTCAATACACCAAGCTGTCAACATATTTTCCATACTTACAACACGAACCTCTTCTTTTCTTTCTAACCATTTAACCCTTCTATTCTATTTGTATATCTGTGTCTTCTTAATTGCTCTACATTGAAGATATAAGAGATGGTGACGCAAGCGATAGATCAAATGAAGTAAAGGAATATGGAGAAAGCACAACATTCATCAAAGGACCTGCATTTTGTAGCGTACTCTGAATCAGCACGACCTGCATGAATGGATATTGGATTAGATTTATGTTGCTTCCATCTTACGTTAGGGTAGAACATTGAGCATCTCTTTTATTCATTTGCTTATAATGGAGTAACATAACCTACTTATATTTTGTCATTTCTTTGTTTCAAGTTTCATGAAAATTCAGAAGCATAGATAATGCAGGCAAAAAGTATTTAACTCGTCATTTCTTTGTTTCAAGTTTCATGAAAATTCAGAAGCATAGATAATGCAGGCAAAAAGTATTTAACTCTTCCAACTTTTTCATGCATCTTTTAGATAATGCAGGCAAAAAGTATTTAACTCTTCCAACTTTTTCATGCATCTTTGTACCTTATTATCTGCAGAAGAGAACCAGCAAGGATAGAAGCTTCATTCTCTGAGGAATGGGAAATTTTTATTCCATCTCTGTTGCCCCAAAATCAATAGTTCTACCTAGGTTGATCGATTTGGTATACTTGCGTGTTACGTGCACATGCGTGTAATAAACCATTGGGATTGGGGAGAGTGATGATAGTAATTCCTTAGACTTGATGGTTTGGTCTTTTTGAACGCGGCAACTCCCAATGGGAGAACTTCCCCCATATATATATATATATAGTATTTAACTCGTGCTAAGCACGGTATCCTTATAATTTTTTTTGGTGCGTAGTTTTTCTTCATCTCATTTTTTTGTTTTGTCACAATAAATTTATCTTAAACATACTTGTGGACATTATGACAACTTAACACAGATAGGAATTTGTGGACATTATAACAACTTAATTGAGCTTAACTCAGAAGGACAAAGAAAAAAGAGTCATAAATAATGATCAAGAGATATCATATTGATTTTGTAATATGTGATTGCACCTTGATTTTCTCGACGACAATGGCCGATCATAGTTTGCTCAACTTATTACAATAAAACTATAATTAACATGATTTATCATGAATTAAGTGCAAAGTTAGTATAAAATTTGATGATATCTTTATAAATACAACAAAAACTATACCTATGAGCAATCAGAGGATATACTTGTTTTAGGGATCAGTAGTTATTGGGAATCTGCGAATACCTCCTATCTAACCTCGGCCCTGGCCTCGATGCATCGATGCAGAAGAAGTATGCTTCGGAAGGTGGGGCTGAGGCGGCGGCGGGTACGCCTGAGGTGGGGGGTACTCATATGGCTAAGAATAATAATCAAAGCTGCAATCTGCAATAATCACCAGCAACATATACACGTCGCATATAATAAATTAAAAAAATAAAAATCAAGCATGTACAGTGAGCACAATAACATAACTATACATTTCTATTTTAGCAAATAAATTGAGATATATGAAAAAAAATTAAGGATAAAATACAAATATATTCTTGTACTATTACTGCAAAAGATTTCATATAGCAAGTCATAAGCTTGTTTTAGGTGCCCAAACTCATCAGTTTGCAACAGCTGCAAAAAGAATGACCAAACAGCCTTTGTATATAAAAAAATTACGAAAGAGAAACTTTGGCGGATCAAACATTAACTCCTAGTTTCATCAGTAATAGCGATGTGGCTTATCAAAATATTTGGCCATTCTTTGGATCGAAGATAACCCTACATTTTTCTTGCTGTAGGTTCCAATTTGCATTTATCTACTTCGATTTTTTGCAGGTGAACCAAACATAGAGGAGGGAATTGAAGCGTGTACATAATGATGTATGCTAATAAACAGGTGGGAAAAAAATCAATCCTACTTTCATCAGTAATATCTAAGCATCTCATAATTGTATTTAGGCACTCTAGAGATCCATGATACCCTTCAATTTTTCTTGCTGGCGGTTCCAATATGTATCTACAGAACCAGATTTGATGAGGGGGAACTACAACAGAACTGTTCAAGAATTATTGTACTCACAAAGTAATTTCTACATCTAAGCAACGCAGCAGGTGACTGGAATACATTCCTTGATACTCGAAAAATTTTGCGAGTAAGACCATTGTTCCTTAATGGCAGCAACAAATAAAAAAGGACAACAATCTCGAGAGAACTTTATTTTAAAATATAGACTTACAATGATGAACTCCTCTCGGACTGAGATATTGATCAGTACTTTGAAAACACGATGTTGCACTGCAGAATAGATACATATGAAAACAATTAGTTTTATTCAACTCAGATTATGCCATTTTCTATAAGGTACAATTGAAAATTCTAGTAATAATCAAGAGCAATAGAACAACCTTATGGCATTATTAAATAAAGCATAATACCAATGTAATTGCTTTTTCTGAGGCAATTTTGGTTCTATACATTAGAATTTAGCTTATTTTCTTGCACTGCACTTAGTTTTTATGACAATTGATAATTTTCAAATTTATTTCAGTTTTCAGGTACTATTGGATTAAGTATTTGGAGGTTGATGATCCTCACTCCTCACTCCTATGACTGGCAAATATTACTGCCAAGAGGCAAACTTACTTATAAAAAACAAAAACTATTTACAATTGATATTTTGACTTACTTTTGCTACATACTTCATAAAATTTCACTTCCTATATGGATTGTTATCAATTGTAATCTTCATGTATTAAAGTTTCAATAATATCTAAAAAGTTATACGTGATTTAGGATTATATTGAAAAATATTTATAACTAAACAGTAGCCTGTAAAGTTGAATATTATGCGCAGAAATTTCTACGCGTCATTAGGAAAACTGCTATAACTTTTGCACCACATATCCACTTAACATGTCATTTGATGCATATTTAAGTGTACTGAAAGATCTATATAGTGACATATAATTTTGTAATTTTTTACTTTACTAATAGCTGCAGATAGGCAGATAAATTGTACCTTTTAGCATAAAGTACAGTGCCAATAGCATTCATCAAAGTTGTGGTGAAATGATAAAAAAGGGAATCCTGGATCTGATTATACCTGCACTGCATTATTTTTGTGGATAAAGATGCAGATCCTTCAATTCCTTCAAGATATGCTTCAACGTCGTCGGTCATTTCCTAATTCATCAAATGAAAAAAAAAATTGAACAATCACTCAATGAAAAAATAATAATTCACTAAGCAATTGTTCCGAACTCAAAGTAGGATGAAAATATTTATAACCTGAAGAAGAATTTCTCTCTGTATAGGCGGGGGCTGAACTTAGTTCTCTTTCTTTTAGGCAGAAGAGAATGAAAATCTGCGAAGTGCTTGTGGGGAAGTTGAGCGACGTGGTCATCTTGTGCGGGGGAACATCAGCGACGTGGCAAACTGGAGCGACGTGTGTGAAGTTCTCGCAACGTGGAGTGAAAGAATGATTTACGGATAATTTTTGACATAAACCGGCCACTTGTCAGAAATTTCACAATTTCAAGGTCGAGTTGCTATTCTCTCATATGGAAATGAATCAGCTTTATGGTAACAGTATAAAAATTGCCTTTGTTATCATAGAGAACCATGACTACAACAATAGAAAGCTAAGATAGAACGGAAAATGAAGCAATCATATTAATTGCTTACGTAGTGTTCTAAATTGTGATCTACGCCTGAAGCCACAAATTAAGAAGTACACTACATAGGTTTAGAATTAATAAATAAAAACCGAGAATTTAACAAAAGGTTACACAATAGCATAGAAATGAAAATTTATCAGAATTAAAAACCTTAATTTGGAAAATGGAAAAACAAAAAATCATCTAATCTAACAAATTCCAGTAATTGCAAAACTAATCCATCACGACCGTTCAAATTTGCCTGAATTGATGCGATCTCACTATCTCAACAACGATTAAGTCAAATTCTTCTGAATAATTACGCGATCTCAGCACTCAGCCGATCAACTACTAAAAATAGATCAGGATTGTAAAATTTGTTACCTCAATCAACTGATCTTAGCGACAATATGATAGATCAGGCGTCAGAATCTTAGGATCCAGACAAAAAAAGTTCACCAAAATAACAAAAAAAGCATCGCAAACCCTAAATTCAGCAAGAAAATATCTAGACAATTCCTCACCATCTTGGGAGCGGCGATCGGAGTGGGAATTGGCGAGCGAGAGAGAAATTAGATATTTTTTGGGAGAGAAAATCTAGGGAGAGAAAATCTAGGGCACCAAAGAAAGGGATCCGAAGTTTCTATTAAAGGAGATTCCTCTTTACTGCAGTGATCTCTGTCGATCATTCAATACCTCGCAAAGAAAAATTATGTGACCTGCTCCTTCTCGACTGGCCTTCTCCTCGGCGATGGCGGCCAAAGCAGCCG